GTGTGGCGTCACAGAGAGGAAGACGAAGCGTTCGACCAGTCCTACAGCCCGCGCCCAGAAGGTCGTCTGCCAGTGTATAGATGTTGTCAACTAAAATGATGCAAAATGTCAGCCTCACATCTGTTGAAAAGGGGCTCCTCCTACAGGAAGCAAGATGGTGGGGCAGGGGGCACTAATATAATTAAAACTTGAAGGCACAGTGTAATACAGGAAAATGTCGTTGAATAACACATCGCTAAGACTTGAAATCTTTAGGGGTACCTGGGTGGCTCAGTTGGTTAAGCGTCTGGCTTCAGCTCAGGTCATGATCCTCATGGTCTGTAAGTTCGAGCCCCACGTCGGGCTCTGTGCTGACAGCTCAGAGCCTGGAGCCTACCACAGATTCTGTGTCTCCCTCTCCCTCTCCCTCTGCCCCTCCCCTGCTCACCCTCTGTCTCTCTCTCAAAAATAAATAAACATTTAGAAAAAAAAATTTTTTTTAAAGACTTGAAATACGTTGTTTCTTTTCAAAAGCACTGTGAGCACAATGAAAAGAATACAGCTTTAAGAACTAAGCTTCACCCCATCAGGCATTAATGGAGTCCAGAAACTATGTGAACAATCTTACTTGACATCCCAAGACGTTATATCGGTCCAAAGAGAAAACCAGAGGGGGGAAACATGTTAATTTTCTCAGCCTTTTGATAGCACATACACAAGATCTCTTAGCCCCACAAAAAGCTCCAAATATTCTCTAGAACTTCAACTGCCTTAAAATATAGACTTGCATTTATCTTGGCCACATTAACGAGATCTGTTTGACCAATACATTTATATTTATGGTGACTAAGGGCAGATTATGGTTGTTAAAATTTGTCCTTGGGACATGAAAACACTCCTCTGTCATTAATACATTTTGTAATATAAACTATGATGTCAGGTCAACGTAAAGGGTAAAAACGTTCCTAAAGTATGCACACATCATTTTTTAAAGCAATTGAGCCTAATGGAATAACAAAGGTCATCATAACAAACCATTACAGCCTTGGTCTTGGCAACTCTGGCCACAGAAGAATCTCCAAGAAACGATCATCATTCCTCCAATGTTATGGCATCCAGACGACAGGAATGGCTTGCAAATGAGTCATACAGGCTCAGATCCTCAGTAGCTATGTGAGCGCTGGACGATCAATTATTCATGTGTTTACAGAGAGCTTTCCCGGTTGATGTTAACCAGAGCTGCTTGCAAAGAAGAGTTCTCCAGCTGTCCTCGGCCATCCTGGGCCTCCAACTAACAAGCCGATTTAATTGCTGGGCAAGGTCATCGGGAAGGTGCCCCTCCCCTAGACCACAATCCCTTTGAGACTTTGTTAGGTGTAAAAATATTAATCAGAAATAATTATGGCAATACTTTCTTTACCTTACTCCCAGCAAATCCCAAAGACAGAGCTAGAAGTTAGCCTTAACTTAGGTCCCACTGAGCTCCGCCAATACTGGAGTCTGGACTACGGAAGATACAGGTCAGGGATTGGTAGAAGGTACGGAGAAAGAAAGGAAGGGAAAGAATCAGGGTCTGTGGGCTTCATGAGGGAAGTGGGAGGAAGTGCAGTCTAGAATGCCCTGTGAAGGTATGGGGGCCCGACTGACGACCACCAAGGGCGAATAGATTAGGTTGGTCAATATCCAAACGTGATTGAACTTGACCCACCCATCAAAATTGGCCTTGGAACAAGTTAAATCAGAAGGCACTTCTCAGCCCCTTTTGTTACTACAGCCTGTCCAGGAAGACTAATAATGTGATTAGGGCAACTCCTCTTTCTGAGCTCGGCCCAAGAGGATGAGACCAGATGGCCCCACCAGTCCCCTATCAGCTGTGTTTTGAGGGAGACCAGGATCATGGCCAAAGCTGTTGCCTGGGCCTCTTCCTCTGAAGACGCTGCAGTCAAAGCAGACAAAGGGATACCTCAGGCACATTTCCATTATCCCAATTCCAAGAGCGTTTGTTGAAACCTTCAACCAGATTCTTCTCCTTGCTTGAAACTGGGCAAATTCAGGCACTATCAAAACTCACTTGTCCATTTCTAAGAAAGTGGTAGAACCAAACGGTGCTCTTACTGATATAAGATCACAGTGTAAAGGGGGGCGCCTGGGTGGCTCAGTCAGTGAAGCGTCTGACTTCGGCTCAGGTCATGATCTCACGGTCTGCGAGTTCGAGCCCCACATCGGCCTCTGTGCTGGCAGCTCGGAGCCCGCAGCCTGCTTCAGAGTGTGTGTCTCCCTTTCTCTCTGCCCCTCCGTCACGCATGCTCTGTCTCTCTATCTCTCAAAAATCAATAAACATCAAAAAAACTTTTTTTTAAAGATCATGGTATAAAGGGAGTATATGTGTATGGTCAGAAGCACTAAGACCCTGGGGTAGTTCTGCTTAAAGCAGGAGGTGGGGCGCCTGGGTGGCTCAGTCGGTTGAGCGTCCGACTTCGGCTCAGGTCAGGATCTCACAGTCTGTGAGTTCGAGCCCCACGTCGGGCTCTGTGCCGACAGCTCGGAGCCTGGAGTCTGCTTCCGATTCTGGGTTTCCCTCTCTCTCTGCCCCTCCCCCGCTCATGCCCTGTCTCCCTCTCTCTGTCAAAAATAAATAAACATTTGAAAAATAATAATAATACAAATAAAGTAGAAGGAGGCAGCTCTAGCTGAGAGGTTGCAGGGAAAGGTAAAGCTAACAGATGGAAGGATCGTGCCCCTCCCTGGTGTGGAGGGCATCCTGGAGCACTTGTGTGGTGTCGTAAGGCCAGGACTAGAGTCTGCAGTCCGCCCCGCCAACCCTGATCCCCGCCATCCGTCCATGAATGCAGGTTTGGAAAATGAGTCCAGAGGGAAGGAAGGCTTCTCCCCAAGGTCCGCCACAATAGCGAAGCTGGCCTAAGACGCTCTCTCCACACCTCCTTTCACCTTTAAGCCTCAGTCCCACCTTCAGCCCCAGTCAGAGGGATGAGAGAAAAGACAAGAGGAAGCATCCCAAGAGAGGCCTCCTCCATGTGGCTGGGTCTTCTCGGGAGGGCACCATTCCTGCTAATCATGATTCCTTGCCCCTGGCTGGTGCTCTCTCTAGAGATCCAGAGGTCAGAGTAGATTTCTTGAGAGGGGGTCAGGTATAGAGTGTAGGGGAGGGCAGTGTCGAGCAGAATCCTTCATTTTAGGTCCCGCACGTCCCATGAGCTGCTGGGCCTGTGAAGAAAGCCCGAAGGGAGGTATGCGGGACTTCCCAGAGTCACCGGTCCAAGAAATGCCTTTTCAGGAGCGTCCCTGCAGGTAAACTTTCAGGGTTTCACGGACCAACAAGACCTAGGGCAGCGTCGTGTTCGGGGGTGGCACCAGCGCCCTGGCTAGACCTATAGTCTCGGCCTGGTGTGAGAGACTCTCCGGCACATCTGAGGGACTCTCCGCCGTCATGGGCCGCTCCAACTTGTCACCCTATCAGAGTCCTGGGGTCGCGTGCCTGGTGCTCCAGCCTGCCATTACTGTGGGTCACAGCCTCACAGACGGCTTCCCAAAGTCACAAGCTGGCCCGGCCTCCGCACGGTCTCACCGAACTGGTCGAGATCCCCGAGCGCACCTCCTCACCCAGCCCCTGCATCCCTAAGGGCAGAAAGAGAGGAGGAGGGGATCTCTCGGTGCCGGACCACTGCCCGATTTCCAGCGTGCCTAGCCTGATTTCTGTCCGCCCTTGCGTGTACACGTCGCTGCTTCGGTCTCCTGGGCGTGCAGCTCCCACTTTTTCTGTGGAACAACCATGAACGTGAGCCTTTGAGCAGCCTGCCCGGGGCCTCTCTCAAACTCTCCTTCTCAGCATCTCCAGCTCTTGGCTGCTAATTCTCTGCTGCGATGACAGCATAAATTGCCACCTAGAATGAAACACAACACCCAGCAGGAGTGGACATTTTGGCCTGACCTCGAATGTCCATCGCCCACGGCGGTAAGACCGTTCTGAGGGTCTGTGATGGTCTCTAATCCTGATCCTGTATTTCAAGTGGAATTGTGTGCAAATGGTCGGTATCCAACACAAACGAGGCATCAGCCCAGCCTTGGGCATGAACCAACTCATTAAATATAAAATCAACACAAGTAAATGGCTCTTAAATCTCACTGACACAAAGCTTGGCAGGTCCTCTGAGATTCTAGGGGTCATTGGAACTTCTCTCTCCAGACAGGAATCTTCCTCCCACCCTGAGGGGCAGAAGGGGACCCCCGACAAACGGTGTCCGCACGCCCCCCTCCATTCGAGGGCTGCTCTGCACCACAGACAACGACAGGGTCTGCAGGAAGTGTGGCTTTTGACACAGAATGGGTCGCTGGGGAAGTGGATGTTACTATTTACAAAGGGCTAGAAATTCAGGCGAAGGCATTCAGCTTGCCACCGATCACAAATCCCTAGGAACAGCTACCGAACCAACCTTGAGTTTGTCACTGGTGCGTAACTATTGGCTGTTCTCAGAGTCAATCTTCACGTGGTTTCTTAACTCCCGGCTGCATTGCACCACGCGTTCCCAAGGTCCCATTCGTAACGTTACTTGCCGAACTCTTATTTTTGCCTCAGTCTACCTGTAGTTTCAGCACAAAGTGGATTTATAAGGGGAAGGTGACGGGCCAGGTGACCTGACCGATCGCTTTCGCTCTCTGCTCCGTGCCAAGGGTGCAGAAAACAAATTGCAGCGAATCACCAACCAGAAAACACACATAGGTGCACCTGTTGACTTCCAAGGTTACCTCGGAGCTGGGCTAGATTCCAGTGATTACTAACCTCTTTTATAAAACCGACGTGGAGAACGCACAGCTTTTGGTGAAAAGCACGTTTGCTTGCCAGCCCATCAGAGATGGGTGTTCGCCTGGGGAAGCTGTGTGTGAGCAGCTCCATCTGTAAGAGACCCAGCTCTGGTTGGGCGGCACAATTACCAGCTTCGCCCATTCACATCAGTCAGGCTTCAAAGTCCGATTTTTGTGCCAAGAAGTTAGTAAGACCTGAAGCGAGTTAGAGTAGCTTCCGTTTGTTTACAGTTTGGGAACATTTTTTCACGATTTAGTCAGCTTCCTAAGGACAAAACAGCAGTGAAGGATATGGTTCCTCAGCTCTTAGAGCTAAATCATTAGAAAGTAGAAAGATTAGATAGCGGTTTTTAATGAACTGACATGATTTCCTCTTTTCCTTCGAAAGGTTTTCAGCGGCCCATTCCGAATCACAAAATCACGCTTCTTCTCATCCACGGACTCCAGAACTTTCTCACCCTGAATTTGAGGAGGAGGACCCAGCCATGAGTTGATGAGACCAGCAAGGATCCCAGGGGGCTTTGTGACAACAGAGCCACCCTCCTGAGAGCTTTTAGGAAATCAAATACTTACAGCTGAGAAGCAGAGAGTACCTGGAAGGTGTCCCCACTTCCTTAAAAAAAAAAAAAAATCAGGGATAGAAAATTAAAACCCAATCACAGGTATTTTTTTTTCCCAATCTTTTCCACAGCATGGGCTAAGCTATCATTCGCCACCACCAGGGGGCGACATCTTTCTGCTTCTTTTTGCTCATCTGCCAAGAGGGGCGCCACTATTTCACTGGGCAACATTTAACAGCGTCTCAGACAACAGCAAACGGGCGGTCGTCCCCTCTCTGGGGCTACCGCCCACTCTCCTATGTTGGGAAAAACGTTTGGATCACTAATGGGATGTACTTGACATTTGTCTCAAGACAAGGAAGTCTGTGTCTGTCTTGCTTTCCACGTGTTGCCTGTGGGCGTCTGCCAGCAATGGCTGTTCTCAATGGTTGACTTTGCACCATGACATTTCTGCTGTTCTACAGCCCAGAGGCACTGCGTGCTATTGAAGGATCCATCCAATCCTGTGGACGTTGTCTGAGAAGAAGTGCCAGTTCCATGATGATCTATAAGAGGTTGACATCTTAAGTGTTTCCTGAAGATCGGGGTCTTTATGCCTCCTCAAAACGTAGTCCAGGGCTTGGGGAGAAAAGGGATGTGACACTCCAGCCTTATCTGGGGAGCTATGTCATTTCCATTGCATTCTTCCAGAACATTCTTCACACTTCCCCACTCTTCCTCTTTCTCTTCTCTTTCCTTCGGAGTGGTAATGAGACGATGGAGGTTAGCCCTCTGGATAGGCGAATGGAAAAGGGGAACAGATTCCACAATCACAGTTAAACAAGGGATTTTCGGTGTTCTGCCTTGTCATTTAAGTGCCTTGCAGATGTCCTACTAAGCTCCCAAGGACTTATTTCTTTGCCTTGTGCACTGGGACCCTGGGAAGGACTGAGGCACAAAGAAGTCTAAAAGGCAAAACAAAAAAACAAACAAACAAAAAAACCCCAGAAGTCACAGACCCAAAGAAAATGCTGAGGGTTCGGTTCCACAGGCGTGCTTCCCAGCGTCTCTGACGATATCTTTTTTCAAGGTATCTGATATTCCAGGACAGGATTCCTGTCACTGGCCCAGCAGGTACACAGGATCTCCCACTCTGACTGTCCCTGGGTTTTCCAGAACAAAATACTGCCCAAAGAGAGGCGATTTTCCGTATAGCTTTTGCTCAGAAGGGTCACACAGGCGATAACTGCAATGGGAGAGAGAGCATGATGAGTCTTGGTCGAACGAAGCAAGAGCTCAAATGGCCTCTTGGTTCTTCTCAGCTGAAGTCAATGCCCACTCCCCCCCCCCCCCCGGCCCCAACCCACAGCCACCGGGGCCCAGCTCCAGACAGTACCAACCCCATCAAAGTCTGACAGGACGGCGCCTCCTGGAGTCGTGCGGGGAGCAGCCCACCAGGAGCACAAACTCTGAAAGGCACCCAGCCCCCCACATCTTTTCTCCATGGAATGTTCCCTCTGACGGCCTTACGAGATGAGGCACTCGGGCAGTTCAGACACCCTTTACCAGCTTCCCTTGCCCCAGGCAGCTCTCCCCCTGGCTCCCCCACGTCTGTCACTAGAACCGCCAGTCCTACCAGCCCCGGGGCATGGAGCCCCAGGGTCATCTAGTCCACCTTGCCCCTCACCTTCTGCCGCTTGTCCCTAGCTGCCAAGTCCTGAGCTTCTTCCTGCGCCACGGCCTCGCCTTGGCTCACTGCTTCTCCGGCCTGCCCTCGGCATGCTCAGACCATCGTGACAACTTCCCAACCCATCTCTTTTCCTCGTTCTCCGACCGCCACCACCCCCCCCCCCCCCCACCCCGGGCTTCCAATTCATGGTTGGGACAAAGGGGCTTCCAATTCATGGTTGGGACGAAGCTATGCCACTTCCTTCCTTTTGCTCTGGTCTTGTCGTTCCCAGGCCCAGAAACTGTCAATGGCTCCCCGGTGCCTAAAGATAGCATTCCAACTCTTCAGCGGGGCATGCAAGGCTCTCTACCTGGCCCCAGCAGCTTCTCCAAGCCTGTCACCCCTCTGCCCTTTACATGAACCTGTGTAGTTCTCCAATGGATTACTAAATGTCTTTTTTTTTTTTAATGGGGGGAGGGGCAGAGAGACAGAGGGAGAGAGAGACTCTTAAGCAGGGCCCATGCTCAGCACAGAGCCTGACTCGGGCGGCGGGGCATGATCCCACGGCCCTGGGATCATGACCTGAGCCGAAATCAAGAGTCGGAGGCTTAACTGACTGAGCCACTCAGGTGTCCTTTCTCCATGTCTTTTCATCTTGCTTTGCATTTTACTGGCTCAGAGACTCCTGTGGGACACCACCCCTCGTCCACCGCCCCGTGCGTTATAATTCTACCTTTTCCTCAAGGCCTAACTCAAATGCCACATCTCCTAAGAAGGAAGCCCGGGATCCCCCAGCCGGGAGTACCTTTCCCAACCTTGATTTTCCCTGCCGGCTCCTGGAACATTCACATGCCTTGTCCTATAGTCAGGGCACACATCTATCTGTCTGCAAGACTGGTGGGGGGCGGCGGGGGGGGGGGGGGAGTCCCCGGAGAGCAGGGACTGTGGCGAACTCCCTTGTACTGCTCACAGGTCACCAGTGACCCACAATCATTTGTTGAATGGATGAATGTGTTGGTGAGCAAAACCCTCTAGTCGAATCAGTATGAACATCTTCGTCAGGCCGAAAACACGAGCAGCACAGGAGGCAGATGTGTGGGAATAACATGGCGAGATTCTCCTCTTACCCCCCTGAACCGGGAGAAAGTTTTCCTCCAGTTTCGCACTTAAGCTAACTCCAATTTTACATCACCTTTTTATTTAAAACATTTTTTTAGAGAGAGGGAGAGAGGGAAGAAGGATGGGAGCAGGGGAGAGGGGCAGAGGGAGAGAGAGAGAATCTCAAGCAGGCTCCCCACTCAGTGCAGAGCCCGATGTGGGGCTCGATCCCACGACCCCGGGATCATGACCTGAGCCGAAATCGAGAGTTGGGTGCTCAACAATCGACTGAGCCACCCAGGTGCTCCAAAACATTTTGATAGAAAACATTGATTTTATTCTAAAGTGCTTTAAAAAGAAAAAAAAAAAAAAACAAAAACGTTTGTGGCAACCCGGTCCTAATTTCGTTCATCGGATCAAAGCGGGCAGATGAGCCACTGGAGAGGATCAAATCCAGAGGCCCCTCACCAGGCGGCAGGCACCTTGCCTGACCGGCTCACTGCCAAGGGCGCCTGAGAACCGAGGTCTGGCCCCTCCACCCACAGTCACTAGGCTTCCTACCCAAGATGCGACTGATCCTTGGTCAGCTATATTCCTTGCGAGTGTGGACACAGGCCTGGAAAAACTGAGTGGGTTGCTATTAAGTCTTCTATACAAAGGTTTGGCCATTCATGGGTTTCACCTGCCTTCTCCCATCAATCACTCACATATACACTCACTCCCCCCACCAGGTAACTTAGAGTGCAGGGCCCCTTGCAGCCCGGCCCCTCAAACAGCGCAAAACGGGGCAAGAAGGTTGGTTTGTACAAGCGCAGGTTTGGTCACCTGGTTCGCAGGCGGCAGTCCATTTCGGGGCCTCGGAATCGAAACAGGAAGCGCTGTGGCAGCGGGTCGAGCCCTCCAGGGCTCCCCTACAACCCTCCCCCACTCTTGTCCCACCTTCCGGTCCCTTTAACACGGTTTCCCCCCCCCCCCCCCCTTCCCCGCAGGGACGCGGGAAGACCCCATAAACGAGTTTATCGGCGACCCCTTGTGGGCATGAGTGGGTACTGCAAGCGGTCTGCAAATTCATGTGCACACCGAGCTTTGTTCAACAGACGGCAAACAGAGTGCTGTATCTTGTGGGGATCGCCTACGATTTTTCTTCCCCGAATATGTACTTTTTGGTGGGGATTAATAAATTACAAACGCATTTAAAGGTTCCTTTCTTAATGCATTTTCCTTTTTTAATGAGTAGGGAACCTACAACTTCTCTAATGAGCAGGAAGTCCAAGCCCCCGTGTTTAATTTCAACAGAGGTCTCCAAACTGCAAGGGTAAGTGTGACTGGAAACGCTGCCACCTGTAAAGTACGTGCACCGGTGCCGGCTACTGCCCATTATCACTCTGCCGGGTCTACTCGTTTACTGGTCAATGCCCAGGCCGTGGCTACAAGCATGGTCTCTGGTCACCTCTGGGTCCCCACCTTGGGGCACAGGCCACTTCTGAGACCTCACAATCCACTACCTCAATGGCCAGGGTAAGAATTAAACAGCACTGGGGGGCACCTGGGGGGCTCGGTCGGTCAAGTCTCCACGACTTCAGCTCAGGTCATGATCTGACGGTTCGTGAGTTCGAGCCCCTCATCGAGCTCTGGTGTGGACAGCTCGGAGCCTGGAGCCTGCTTCGGATTCTGTGTCTCCCTCTCGCTCTCTGTCCCTCCCCGACTCACGCTCTCTCTCTCTCTCTCTCAAAATATAAATAAATGTTTAAAGAAACCTTTTTTTTTTTTTTTAAGAATAGTTCCATCTCCATATTTTCCCACCTCCCCTCCTCCTCTGTGCCGCCCGCTCTGAACTTTTCTCAGGCAAAGGCTCCCTTGGGTTTGGCCCACGGATGGTCCGCAGCACCTGACCTATTTCTTCTCTTGTTGCTCTGCCACCTGCATTCTGCCAGTGGGCGCCAGGCCTCCGCGGGTGAGGCTGGCAGACAGGTCTCCCCGCTGGGGACCAGCAGGCACCACACCCCGGGGCACCTGAAGACACGGCAAAACGCAAAGCAGTCTGGCGTCGGAGCGACCTGCCCGAGAGCGGGGAAGGTGTTCTGGACGCTACTGTTTGCTTTGCTTCGCTTCCCGTGATTTACGTCCCGAGGCCGGGCCTCTCTCTTCCAGATTTATGGCCACCTGTCCTGGGGAGAGCATAAATTACTACCTCTATGGCAGCTCCAATCCCCGTCAGAGACAGGGGAAGACACCTAGGTGGGCTGCTCCCTCTCCGGGGGGGGGGGGATTAGGAGCCATGGGGGGGTGGGGGGTGCTGGGCTGCAGAAAGCCTGCAGACCATTGGGAGAGCTGTGCTGGTTCCCGCCACCCCCGCCTGCTTGTCCTCACTCTGTGTGGGGGTCAATTATCCTCCTTCTCTAAACACAGATTCCCGATGCAGGAGGCTGTTCCCACCAACAGAGACACTTCCTAAATCCAGAGGGAGGGGGTGACAGACACCAAGTCACGTGATGGGGGGAGAGAGAGAGAACAGGACGCACAGAAAAGGGGTTAGGGTCAATTCCTACAATCGCTCAGCTGCACACAGAATCATCCAGTCTTGTCCTACCCGGTTTGTTTCAGAGGGAAGATCACCCATGGCCTGCACGAGAGGGGGACCGGCCGACGCTCGGGACAGCTGGCCGCAGAGCCGGGGTTCCCGGCTCCCGGGACAGGGCTCTTTCCCCGGCCACCTGCCCCTCTCCCGGCAGCTCCTTTACGGCCACAGGAAGTAGGAAGACCAAGTTCTGCTTTGTTCTGCCGCTGAATGAGTGAGTGCGATTGGAGGCATAGCTGGTCTGTCGTTGCTGCTTCTCAAAACCCCACCCCCCTTACTAATATTCCAACCCACATAGTATTTATTATTACAGCTCCCAAACATGCACACAAGTTAAAAGAGTTTTATAGCGAATACCCACTTACTCATCACCTGGACACTACATGTAACACTTTACTGTATTTCCTTCATCACATTTTATCCATCCCTCAATTCATTATATGTACATTTTTGCATTTGCAAATAATTCGCGGACATCAGTGGACCTCACCTCTACACAGCTCAGCTGGCATATCATGTCCTAGAGTTAAAATTTTCGTTACTTTTTCTGGGGTGGGGGGGAAATGTACATGCAGTGAAATATACAACCCTCAAGTATGCTATGATATTACGTTCTTCTTTAAAGTTTATTTTATTTTTGAGAGAGAGAGAGACAGCGCACAAGTGGGAGAGGGGCAGAGAGAGAGAATCCCAAGCAGACTCCGTGCTCACAGTCCAGAACCCCCCACGGGGCTCGATCTCACGAACCCTGAGACCATTACCTGAGCCAAAATCAAGAGCTGGATGCTTAACCAACTGAGCCACTCAGATGCCTCTATCATATTAAGTTCTTAATATTAGGTAATAAATATTAAGTTAAAGTGAGAAAGTTAATTAATGTTGTTTTGAGCATTGAGGAATCCACAGTGCCCCTCAAAATGATGAGAGCTGCCTTGGGCTGTCTGTACCTCTCTTGGAATGTTCCTGCAACTCTACACCCAGCAGTGGGAACCCAGGTGAAAAGCAGCCATTTGCTATTCACTTCAAGAATACCTCTCCCGGGGCGCCTGGGTGGCTCAGCCGAAGCATCCGACTTCGGCTCAGGTCATGTCGTGGTTCGTGAGTTCAAGCCCCGCGTCGGGCACTGTGCTGACAGCTCAGAGCCTGGAGCCTGCTTCAGACTCTGTGTCTCCCTCTCTCTCTGCCCTTCCCCCACTCACACTCTGTGTCCCTCTCCCTCAAAAATAAACATTTTAAAAGAATTTTAAAGACTGCATATAAAACTATTTTTTTTCTCATAATTCCATTACCACAAGAGCACCTCCATTCATGTTTTTGTTTATAAATTTCTAGTCCTGGGGGCACCTGGGTAGCTCGCTTGGTTGAGTGTCCAACTCTCAATGTCAACTCAGGTCACAATCCCAGGGTCATGGGATTAAGCCCCATGTCAGGCTCCAGATTAAGCATGGAGCCTGCTTGGAATTCTCTCTCTCTCTCTCTCTCCCTCCCTCTGCCCCTCTCCCCCACTCACTCTCTGTCTCTCTAAAGGAAACAAAAAACAAAACAAAACCTTCCAGCCCTTTATTTACTCATGTGCCTTTATATATTTTAAAAAGTAAAATCAAATAAAAAAAGAAAAATACGTGCTATTTCGTTATCAGCTTTTAAAACTCAGTGTGAGGGGCGCCTGGGTGGCGCAGTCGGTTAAGCGTCCGACTTCAACCAGGTCACGATCTCACGGTCTGTGAGTTCGAGCCCCGCGTCGGGCTCTGGGCTGATGGCTCAGAGCCTGGAGCCTGCTTCCGATTCTGTGTCTCCCTCTCTCTCTGCCCCTCCCCCGTTCATGCTCTGTCTCTCTCTGTCCCAAAAATAAATAAACGTTGAAAAAAAAAAATTTTTAAACTCAGTGTTATTTTAACTATCTTTCGATGCCATTTAAACTTATCTCTGTAACTGTATCTTTCACTTAAAATGTTTTATTATGAATACTTTAAAGTTAACATAAAAGTAGAAATGCTGATGGGGCACCTGGGTGGCTCAGTTGGTTGAGCGTCTGACTTTGGCTCTGGTCATGATCTCACGGTTCGTGAGTTCGAGCCCCACATCATGCTCACTGCTGTCAGCCCAGAGCCTGCTTCAAATCTTCTGTTCCCCTCTCTCTGCCCCTCCCCCCGCTCTGTGTGTGTGTGTGTGTGTGTGTGTGTGTGTGTGTGTCTCAAAAATAAATACACATTTTTAAAAAAAAAGTAGAAATGCTGCCATGAATGCCCATATAATTATCACCCAGATTCTATTTATCAAAGTTTTGACACAATTTTCCATGTGACCTTTTGTGTGTGTGTGTGCTGTAGTAATATACAGCACATCCCAGACATCATGTCATTTCCCCTAATTACTTCAACACCCTTCTCCAAAATATACGTATCTATCTTATATCACAGTGCCATTATCACACCTAATAAACATTTGGTATCATCAAATAATCAGTTCCAAATTCGCCAAAATATCTAAACAATGCACTTCTTAAATCGGTTCCTTTGAATCATGAATTCTGAATGAGAAATACAGTTATTTATGCAAGGAGACACTCTGGGAACCATGGCACCCAGGCATATCTCCCCAATTACCCAGTCACTAGGACCCCCCCTCGGCTTCAAGACTGTGTTCGTGCTATTTTCTCTGCTTCCCAGAGACATTCAGGTGCCTGCTCCTACCTCTTCAGGGTCTCCAGCGGTTCCTTCCTGCTCATGACGCCAGTGTCTGGGTCCACCGTGGTTAAAATGCACCTGGACACACACACACACACAGCATCATACAAGGGACAAAGCAGGCTGACCTCGGCCCTCCCACCATCTCCACTCCGGGGGTGGAAGGAAGTGCCTTACCTGGAACAAGCCGTTACTCTTTTCAGTATGACGTCACCAATAAGAAGCTCATCCCAAGAATCCTACGGGGACAAAGCACGAAATTCATAGGGGCACTTCCGAGACTTAGCTGTGACACACCTGTGTAGGGACTGCATATGAGCTGACACCTAATGAAGCCACTTATACCATAGATGGGAGACTTTTACACCAGCCCCGAGAAGCCACACACCCTCTTGTCCTCTCTCTGCCTATGACAGTTCGTGCCCCTATAGTGAAATGCTCCCTCTGCTCTCACTGATAAAACTGCAGTCGAAATTCATCTCCCTGAGCGCCTGGGTGACTCAGCCGGTTAAGCGTCCAACTGCAGCTCAGATCATGATCTCGTGGTTCATGAGTTCAAGCCCCGCATCGGGCTCTGTGCTGTCAGCACAGAGCCTGGAGCCTGCATCGGATTCTGTGTCTCCCTCTCTCTCTCTGCCCCCCTGCCACTTGTGCTCTCTCTAAAAAATAAATAAATACACTTAAAAAAAAAAAAAGAAACTGACCTTCCTGACTGATCCCATTGGACTCAAGGAGGAGCGAATGGAGGGGTTGGGATTGACAGAGGGCGTGGGTGACAGAAAGGACATGGACAGGGGGTCACTCTAAACTATGCATGCCTCTGCTGGACCTAGATCCTTAGGGCACTGATACGTTCACCTTGTATCATCTCCCTTTGCAGATACGAACAAATCAAGAGTACCCCCACACCCTTATGTGCTCCACCGCAGGGAGCTTCTTAGGCATTTGCCCACAGCCTGGGTCACTGGTGCCTACTTTTCAGGACAAATAAAATCAATGGACTAGCACCCCCTCGAATCCAGCAGGGGAGACAGGACATACACACAAGAAAAGTTAATGATCAATATATTTTTGAGGGTTCCAGAAAATTCGAGAGAAAGCAAAAATTGGAGAGAAACCCACGCAGTGCGTGGGTTTAACTACACAGGCAAGAATTGACCTGGAGGTTTTAGAAGAACAAGCCCTCAGGCTGCTCTGGTCAGGAGAGGTTTTAAGGAAAAGATAGGATTTGAATGGAACCTTCCAGAACAGAGACTTTGGAAGGCACAAAAGAAGGGTGAGGAGACTGGGGAAGTAATTAGAAGGAAGACACTGAAGAGACATAGAACATCTAATCATAGTCTTGAACTTCTTACCCTGGGAGAGAAGTGCCAGCTGCCTCAGGGCTGAAGACAAAAATTCATGAGCTAAAACCAACCTGCCCTGTCCGGTGTGATCACAAGCCAGAGACCTGGAGACTCAGAATTTAACTCTCAGAGTGCATATCATTCTTGCTATATGTATTGCAGCTGGTTTTTTAATGTTCTTATTTATTTTTGAGAGAGAGAGAGCGCGCGCGCACAAGTGGGGGAGGGGCAGAGAGAGAGAGGGAGGTACTGCAGCTTTTTAAGCCTAAAATGGGTCTCTTAACCGCAGGTCCACAAAAGCTGGGCCCCTGGGGTTAGAGAAGCCCCAGCCTGTTCTGTGTGTGTTTGTCCACCAGGGGGCACCATGGTCATAAAAAACATAAAAGATCCAAGCGAAGAGAAATGTGGGCTCTGTTAGGAAATTAATTAATTACTAATTAATTTATGTGCACTAGAAACTGTTGGGGATCGAGTCACAGATAAATAAGGTAAAAAATTCCATAATAAGGAAAGCCAGAGATGTAACCGGGTCCAAGCCCTGAGCCCTGTGATACTCGGGCCTTGAGCAGACCCCTAGCGGCCCTGTCATCTCCCAATACGTCGGTGCTAACAACAATCTTGTGGTCACCTAACACCCTGCATTCACCACCTTCGTTGCCTGTCTTGCTGGCCTGTTCACAATCTGATCGCCTTAGGAGAAACAACCATGTTTCTTCAATCCTGTTTTCCACAGTGCAGGGGACCCAGTGGGACTAACTCATCGTGCAATGAGTGACATATGACTGTAGTCAGTTAAGTGTCCAACTCTTGGTTTCAGTTCAGGTCATGATCTCATGGTTTCGTGAGTTCGAGCCCTGCATGGGGCACCACCCTGACAGCGTGGAGCCTGTTTGGGACTCTCTGTCTTCCTCTCTCTCTGCCCCTCTCCCACTCGGCTATCTGGGTCTCTCTCAAAATAGATAAATAAACTTAAAAAAAAAAGAGCGACATGTTATTATAAAAGGAGCTCAGCCACAGTGTTGTATTAACATCCAATTTAAAATGTGAAATGTTCCCAGTTAGGAAACACTCAGAGTTATAAAGAAATGAAGGCCTCGGGGCGCCTGGGTGGCGCAGTCGGTTAAGCGTCCGACTTCAGCCAGGTCACGATCTCGCGGTCCGTGAGTTCGAGCCCCGCGTCGGGCTCTGGGCTGATGGCTCAGAGCCTGGAGCCTGTTTCCGATTCTGTGTCTCCCTCTCTCTCTGCCCCTCCCCCATTCATGCTCTGTCTCTCTCTGTCCCAAAAATAAATAAACATTGAAAAAAAAAATTAAAAAAAAATAAATAAAAGAAATGAAGGCCTCTAAAACAAGATTCAGTTCAAACAAATGTAAATCTGAGGTCCTACTCTGAGAGAGCTGTCTCCGCTCATTTTATCTACATCTGACCATCTCAGAACTTTGGGGCAGGAAACGTCATCAACATGACCCAGGGCACAAGGATCGCAAAGGGGAAGGAAGCTTAAAGTTGGTCACAGTTGGGGGAATGCCTCAGTCAGGCTCCTTCACTCTGATTATAGGAAAGAGACCATCCCCCACCTCTCTATGACATTTTCTAAGAGCTTTTCCACAGATTGGTATAGACCTTGATTCTTACAGCTGCCATCAGGGAGCTGAAATCATCTGCATTTTACAACTGCAAGAAGCAAAGGCCTTGAGGGGTTCGAGGACTTGTCCAGGGTCAAACAGCCACTTATTGAAGCAGGTGGATTCAAACCCAGGTGTCCCAACCTCACGTATGCCCCTTAGAATGTTCAGAGTTCCTTTGGCACATGGTACTGTCTGGGTTCAAGATCCAGCTCCTCCACTTTGTGCCATGGGATAGCCTCAGGCGAGCCAGGTCACCTCCCCAGGCCTCTCCCTTCCTCCTTATAAAAAGGGAATATGACCTTCACCTCCCCAGGCTGCAAAGCACAGTGTGAGCATTAGGTGGAAGCCACCACCCTTTTCCTTTTTCTGAGAAGGAAAACCCTCAGGAGAAATTGCTTTCCTGGCCTCAACTGGTACAAGACAAATATCAATGAGACGATCAAAAGCAACCAACACTGATTTTCCCCTCTTGTCTGAGTCCAGCTGAACTGTGCTGGATGTGAGCAAGGGCAGATGAGCTCCCTTGTCACAGTGGAACGTGGAGGGACAGCCCAGGGCAGGCTCTCGGGGACAGCGCACGTTTCCCGCCTTATACTAGACGCTGACCTGCCATCTTTGGAAAGCGTGGCATGTTTAGAGCGTTTGACATAAAACATCAGAAGTGCATTTGGAGGTACTTTTACTGCCCGTCACTGACTGATACTGCATTTATACTTTTTGCGAGTCACCTTAGCCAACCTGACCCTTTGACAAACCCGTAAGGTAATCCTAGGCAGAAAGGATCACTCCATTCTCCAGGCAGGTACACAAGCCTGCACAGAGTCATGTAGGGGCCAGCAAGGAAGCTGGAGGCGGACCTCAGAGCCTCGGGTTTGAGTGTGGGCTTCAGTTTCCTAGATTGCTTCTTTCAGCACACCTAGCTCCCTCCTCACAGTAAGACGGAAAGGCAGAATCCGTCTCCCTGAGTATAAGGGATTAAGACTCAGTCACTTGGACTCAGTTCTTCCCCTGCCCTTTACCTCCACTTTCCATCTACAAACACCCACCACCAGAACTCTGGAATTCCCATCTGAGAGCTGGTGCCTCTGTCAAGTACCCATATCTGGATGGTTGCCACTCACCAAGCCTCTAGGCCACCGACCTCTGCCTTCATGGTCAACAAGGGAAAGAACCAATGAAATATCCAAAGACAATGACAAAGGTAAATCTGCTGCCAGAATCATGTGACACCGTGGAAGCCCTTCATGCTAAGCCACAGTGCAGGCATCTGAGGGCAGATTGGCAGTGGCACTGGAAGAATTTTATAGGCCATCCAGCTGGGGAACCCCACCCCCGACGCTGCAGCAGCCATACTGTAAATGCCTATCTTTCCCCAGGGACCATCAGTTGAACAGGAAAGCTAACTTCAACAAGACATGAGTATACCCTGCCTTTGTTCCATGGCCCACACACATCACGTATTTTATGCTATGTAAATTTGGCTCAAAAACCAATCTACCTACTGGGAATTATGCTGAGAAGTCTCAGACCCTGAACTGCTCCCTGTACACCAGCACCTCCACTTCATCTATATCTGTGTCCTCCGTGATGATGTCTGAACTAATCAGGTGCTCAAGAACTCGAAAAACTGAATGGACCAGCATACCACCAATAACGCATGAATCCTTTGGAATAATCTAAAGCAACATCAAAGAATTTCATACCTTAAAAAAAAAAAAAAAGTTAAATCCAAGGAAAGGGCAAAGGAAAGCAACCTGTTACCTCTGCATAGACACCACACCCTGAAATGACGATATTGGGCCTGAAGTTAGCCACTTTAACTTTCTTCTCCAGCCTGGAGTTGAGATCTGCCAAAGATGCCTCAGAGAGAATCAAGAACGGGCTGGCATCTGAGTACGCAATCTGGGAAGGAAACAGAAGTGGTTAGAACGTGGCACACAGAGGTCATATGTGGTTAGTTCCTGGAACCCTCCCCTCCCCAGTTCCCAGGGGAACACACACACACACACACACACACACACACACACACACAGTATTTCTAAGTATTTCTTTAGTTCTTTATATAGAAAAGTCACAGTGTTTCAGAAGTCTTAAAGAGCCTTGCAGATAATAGGAATTACATGATGGAATGAAAAAAAAACGTGGCCTTGGGATCCTAAAGCTGCCACTGGCCAAGTCCCCTTGAGGAAGTCACTCCACCTTCTTAAGCCTCAACTTCTCCAGTGCTGATGAGCTTCATGACCTCATTATGGATGATAAAAATATTCCGATTCCACGGATACCTATTTTGATGCCTCCTGCAAATCAACATCAAGTACTTTTACTGACCATATATGTAATTTTTTTTTTAATGGCCGTAGGAATTGTGCTACCAACCCCTCCTTTTACCATGAATCCTTACATTCCTATAAGGGTCAACTTAGTCACTTTAAGTCTGTGGATTTCCATGCCCACACTCGTTTGCCCAACCGTGATCTGACCATTGCAATCACACTGTAAAAAGGTTGAGCTCCACATACAATTACAGAATAGAGTGGAAAAGTTTTGAAACCCTGTTGGCACTGGAAGGCTTACATAAATAGGAAGGTAGATGGCGATCAGGAAAATGCAAGAGTCCCCCAAATCAAGAAACACAAAGGAAGTTCCCAAAGGAAGGGCTTTAATTTTGCCTGTTCCTTAGAATCCCCAGCTGCTGTTCAGGCCAAGCTTCCCGGGAGCTGCCTGGCAAAATGACAGAGCAGAGCTCAGCGACATGCTACCCTGTGCCTGATGGGCTGCACATGACTGCTGTGCACTCCTGAGGAAGCCTGCCTTCCACAGGACACACCGAAGGCCAAAGCCAAGGAATGCTCCTCTGACCTGGTCTGTGGGCTGGAACACATCCATTATTTGGTGAGAATTTCTCGGTCGCATGTGAGGCTCATAGTGTACCAGGCGGTAGGGCTGTGTCTTCAGGAAGCTAGTAATCCACTGGGCCGCAGCCTCCCCACAGTCCCTGCCCTCGATCTCCAGGCCGTGCACTCTGCAGGGAGTGGCAGGAGTAAAGACTGGTCATGGCTCTGAAAACACAGGACACCCTACCATGTCCTACACATATCAAAAAGCTGTGATGTCTTGGGGCAGCTGGGTGGCTCAGTCAGTTGAGCATCCGACTCTTGATTTCAGCTCAGGTCATGATGCTAAGGTGGTGGGATAAGTTCCATGTCGGACTCCATGCTGAGAATGCAGCCTGCTTAAGATTCTCTCTCTCTCTGTCTCTCTCTCTCTCTCCCTCTGCCCTTCACCTACTCATGCTCTCTCTCTCTCTCTCAAATTAAAAATTTAAAAGAAAGAAGAAGAAGAAGGAGAAGAAGAAGAAGAAGGAGGAGGAGGAGGAGGAGGAGAAGGAGAAGGAGAAGAAGAAGAAAGAAAAGCTGTGATGTCACTGTGATTCTTTAATTATCAGGAAACATGATTTTAGCCTGGTCCTGCCTCTGAACCACTGTGTAAACACAAATGAAGTCACAGTTTCCAGCCTTGCTTTATCCAGGCTTACAATAGAATGATACATGCCTGTGCCTCCCTATCTGGAAGGAATGCACGGAAGAATAAAATCAGATCGGATGTTTGAAAAGATACTGAGTTCTCCAGACGAAAACAAATGCATCAGTATCAAGTAAACTCAAGATTACTACAAAATCTGGTTCACGCAGCTGGACAGCAGCCAGAAGTCTTTATTAATAGGGTCCGGCTATATTTTACCAGTATGATGATAATACAACTAGATTCAGCAGTGTATGTGAAAATGTTCTATAAAATCTAAAACAGTATAGATAATACTCATAATCTAATTTGGGAGCACCTTGGGTGACTCAGTCAGTTAAGCACCTTGGTTTCAGCTTGAGTCATGATCTCACAGTTCAGGGGATCAGGCCCTGCGTGGGGCTCTGTGATGATAGCGTGGAGCCTGCTTGGGATTCTCCCTCTCCCTCTGTCTCTGCCCCGTCCCTACTTGCAGGCTCTCTCTCTCTGTCTCTCTTAAAATAAATAAGCTTAAAAATAATAAAATCAAATTAATTAATTTAATTAATTTAATTAAACTAAAAAGATAAAATTTGCATCAAAACATGTCCCATTATAAAACAATATCAGGGGGCACCTGGGTGGCTCAGCCGGTTGGGCGTCCGACTTCAGCTCAGGTCGTGACCTCACAGTTTGTGGGTTTGAGCCCATGTCGGACTCTGTGCTGACAGCCCAGAGCCTGGAGGCTGCTTTGGATTCCACGTCTCCCTCTCTCTCTGCCCCTCCCCTGCTCTCACTCTCTCAAAAATAAATAAACATTAAAAAAAAAATTTTTTAATAATAACAATAATAGGGACCCCTGGGTGGCTCAGTCGGTTAAGCGTCCAACTTTAGCTCAGGTCGTGATCTCACAGTTCGTGGGTTCGAGCCCCGAGTTGGGCTCTCTCTATGCTGACAGCTCAGAGCCTGGGGCCCACTTCAGATTTTGTGTCTCCCTCTCTGTCTGCCCCTCCCCTACTTGCATTCTGTCTCTCTCTGTCTCTCAAAAATAAATTAACTTAAATAAATAAATAAATAAATAAATAAATATAATAATAATCTAATTTGATTTGACTGCTACTAATAAGCATAGGATTTGAAGTCTCCCCCGCTCTCCCTGATATACAGCATGCAGGACAGTATGGGAGTTATACGTATCTCACAGCTGCAGAGAGGAAAGAAACACTTCGGATAGGCCAGTGTTTCTAAAGTGTAGGACCACTGCTACTGTGGGTATTCAAGACAATGGTAGTACTTGGGTACAACAGGAAAGAATGGTGAACTGCACAGAGAGAAAGTAATTCTATTCAGTTTCATGATAGGAAGTCCCGAATGTCCAGCAACACGTGATAATAATCTCTTTCTAAAAAGGAAAAACAGACCTCAAGTCCAGAAACCTCTACAGGCAATAATTTCTGGCTAGAACTGGGTAACATTCCATCTGTAGCATATTTATTATTTCAGTTAACTCCTCCACCTGGAAAGTTGTCTAGGTATCCCTATACGGTTCCCTTTTTAAATAAATGCATTTAAGGTTTGTTTGTTTGTTTGTTTGTTTGTTTTTAAGATGAACCAATTGGGAGAAAAACATTACGTAAATACAGTTGACCCTTGAACAACATGGAGGTTAGAGGTGCCAACCCCCCATGCAGTCAAAAATCCACCTAGAACTGATGACTCTTCCAAAATGTAACTACGCAGAGCCAACTGTTGACTAGAAGTTCCACAGTAACGTAAACAGTTGATGGACACATATTTTGTGTGCTCTATGCATTACATACCATATTCCTTCATTACAGTAAACTAGAGAAAAGAAAATGTTACTAAGAAAATCTTAAAGAGGAAATGCATTTATAGTGCTGTACTGTATGTATTGAAAACAATCTGCATGTAAGTGGACGTGCAGAGTTCAAACCTGTATTGTTCAAGGTTCAACCGTGAGAGAGGTGGTCTGTGACCAGCATGAATCACGGTCGTGTTGTGCCAATGCCCGACGTTTGAGAAAGAGGAGTCAGGTAGACCTACTTGGGTGTGAATCCTGTTCCCACAAATGACAAGCCCAGTGACCTTGGAGGATATTTGTTACTGTGCCTTAGTTTCTTCATCTATAAAATGGGGATATGGGAATGCAAGCTGGTGCAGCCACTCTGGAAAACAGTACGGAGGTTCCTCAAAAAATATGGAGGTTCCGAAAAATAGAACTACCCTACGACCCAGCAATTGCACTACTAGGCATTTATCCAAGGGATACAGGTGTGCTGTTTTGAAGGGACACATGCACCCCCATGTTTATAGCAGCACTATCGACAATAGCCAAAGTATGGAAAGAGCCCAAATGTCCATCGACGGATGAATGGATAAAGGAGATGTGGTATATATATATATGCAAGGGAGTATTACTCGGCAATCAAAAAGAATGAAATCTTGCCATTTGCAACTACATGGATGGAACTGGAGGGTGAAATTATGCTAAGTGAAATTGGTCAGAGAAAGACAAAAATCATATGACTTCACTATACGAGGACTTTAAGAAACAAAACAGATGAACATAAGAGAAGGGAAACGAAATTAATATAATAACGGGGAGGGGGAAAAACATAAGAGACTCATAAATATGGAGAACAAACAGAGGGTTACTGGAGGGGTGGTGGGAGGGGGATGGGCTACATGGGGAAGGGGCACTAAGGCAGCTACTCCTGAAATCATTGTTGCACTAGATGCTAACTCATTTGGATGTAAATTTTAAAAAAATAAAAAATTAAATTAAAAAATAATAAAAATAAAACAAAAACAAAAACAAATAGTAAAATGGGGATAAAATCACCACCTTCTTCTGAGGGTCAGGGATAATCTATACACATAGATACAAATCCCCCAAAACAATTCGCAGGTTTCGGGTGTGCTCAGTAGATGGTAGTAATCACTCTGGTTTTGTTTTATTGTTTTGTTTTGTCCAGTTATTTCAGGTTAGCTTCCTTCATTGCAGTCTCTTACGATCCTTCGTATTTCTGTGGTGTCAGTTGTAATGTCTCCTCTTTCATTTCTGATATCATCTGAGTCTGCTCTCATTTTAAAATGTTAAAGTGCATATTAGGGGCCCCTGGGTGGCTCAGTCGGTTAAGCGGCCGACTTCGGCTCAGGTCATGATCTTACGGTCCGTGAGTTCGAGCCCCGCGTCGGGCTCTGTGCTGACAGCTCAGAGCCTGGAGCCTGTTTCCGATTCTGTGTCTCCCTCTCTCTCTGCCCCTCCCCCATTCATGCTCTGTCTCCCTCTGTCTCAAAAATAAATAAACGTTAAAAAAAATTTTTTTTTAAATAAAAAATTAAAAAAATGCATATTAGGACACCCTCAGGATGAAACAGTATGCTAACATGAAAACAGTTATTTTGAAGATTTTTAATAATATGAAAAGGTACTCAACATATCAACTTAAGAATATGACATTAATCGTGTATTTTTATATTTTTATATTATTTTTACATTGTTTCTTTCCAAGTATGAGCTACGAAGACAGAAAAAAAACATCGGAATATTATTTATAGTTACCTCACAGGTTTTTTTGTCTCCTGTTTTTTTAGTTTAGCATTTTGCAATTTTTCAACAATGAATATGTATTATGTTTATAATAAAAAAATCATCAAAATTAAAATAAGAACATATCAGGTCTAAAACTCTAAGACAGTGTCGAAACTATACTCATATTGCATCTTATAAACTTCTTGGGGTCTTCAGATACTTTTCAGCTAACTCGGATCTATATTTTTTTTGCTGTGATGTTACTTTCTATGATAGGCTTGGACTACATAAAAACAAAATGCATTCACGATGCATTTTATTTTATTTTATTTTAATTTTTTTTAACGTTTATTTATTTTTGAGACAGAGAGAGACAGAGCATGAACGGGGGAGGGACAGAGAGAGAGGGAGACACAGAATCGGAAGCAGGCTCCAGGCTCTGAGCCGTCAGCCCAGAGCCCGACGCGGGGCTCGAACTCACAGACCGCGAGATCGTGACCTGAGCTGAAGTTGGACGCTTAACCGACTGAGCCACCCAGGCGCCCCACAATGCATTTTAATTCAACATGCAGAAACTGTGACAAGAGTAGAATTAGACCAAATTCTAATTTTCCCATAATGGGATAAAAAGTCAACTCTAGACATGAGCTCTCAGAAGCAAAGCTAGTTTTCCTACACTAATTGCTTCCTGGCAGTCCTTCTAATGTTGGGGAATGAGCCTCTGTACAGAGCGACCTCCTGGCTGAGTCTGTGCCCTCACTACATGCAGACCCCTGGGCATCTGTGGCTCAGATCACTCTTCTGGACGTAGGTGTCTTTTCTGTCTAGAACTTCCTTTCATTAGTACCAAATGTTCACAAAACATTTGCGACTTCATAGTTCACAAAAACATTTGTGACTTCTTTCCTAGGTGTGGAAGGTTCCCAGTCTTTCCAGGCAAAATAGGGCAAGTCCTACGGTAATGGTAGATCTAATCTCACCTCTTCCTGGACATTTTCCACTGTCACTCCCACCCCATTTTTGTCCTTTATCCTTATTTCTCTCTCGCTGACATGTGAATATGCTTTTTCCCCATGGTTTTCTACATAGGACTTCTACATAGGACTTCTCTGTCTCTCAGCCCCACATTAACACACATTTCTGAAGCTGCTTCCTTTTATTTTTAAGTTTATTTGGGGCGCCTGGGTGGCGCAGTCGGCTAAGCGTCCGACTTCAGCCAGGTCACGATCTTGCGGTCTGGGAGTTCGAGCCCCGCGTCAGGCTCTGGGCTGATGCCTCAGGGCCTGGAGCTTGTTTCCGATTCTGTGTCTCCCTCTCTCTCTGCCCCTCTCCCGTTCATGCTGTGTCTCTCTCTGTCCCAAAAATAAATAAACATTGAAAAAAAAATTAAAAAAAAAAGTTTATTTACTTATTTTGAGAGAGAGAGAGAGAGAGAGTGGGAGAGAGTGCATGTGCACACACAAGCAGGGGAGAGGCAGAGAGAGAGAGAGGGAGAGAGAGAGAGAATCCCAAGCACGCTCTGTGCTAAGCAGCACAGAGCCTGATGTGGGGCTCGATCCCAAGAACCGTGAGATCACAACCTGAGCCAAAATCAAGAGTCAGATGCTTAACAGACTGAGCTACCCAGCTGCCCCTTTTCCTTCTTTCCTTCTTTCTTTCTTTCTTTCTTCCTTCCTTCCTTCCTTCCTTCCTTCCTTCCTTCCTTCCTTCCTTTTATTTTTTTTTGAAGCTGCTTCCTTGTTCCTTTGTTTTACATCATCATGATGTTGGGGACTTGGCCCTACATACAGTATGTTCTCAATCAATGGTTAATTATCACCAGAGTCTTTTTTTCAGGACTCCTCCTAGTTCACGCTCCCTCAAAACTGCGTGAATAAATACTCACGCAAGGAGTACGACATACCTTTCCCTTACCTGCACTTGTACACGGCATTTGTGGCAGGTGTCTTGATGGGCAACAGCAGGTCCTTCGTGTAGGCTGCACTGAGGGTCAGGGCATCGCCCTCACAAGTCAGGGAAATCAGGACCAGACGGGGTTCCTGCCGAGCAGTGACCATGTTCCCCTTCTCGTTGACCACAAGCCAAAACCTGCCATGTTCAAAACCCAAGAGATGCGTGGCCCACTGTGAAAGGCACCCAGTCACTGCGGGAGCTCCGGTCATGCACAGTCCTCTTTCATTTCCTCCCCGTAAGCCTGTGTGTGTGTGCGTGTGTGTGTGTGTGTGCGCGCGTGCGCGTCTGTCTGTCCTAAACATCAACTCAACAGCACAGCAAGGCTGAGTCTGTCCCTTTATTTCAAAGGGTTTGGTAACCACTCAAGCATCCAATGTATATAATCTCTTCAGAACCTGCGGAGCTCCTTGATGGCACAGAAATCAAAGACGTTATCATACTCTCATCTCAACTGCGAGAAGGTCTGACCGCTTTCGTTAAACGTGCCCCGAGAGACGACAGGAAACGATTTCCCAGAAAGACTTGAAGGGCACACGGAAGGAAGCACAATAACGAGATTGTGGCTCTATTGTTCTCAGAGCGTGGACTTCAGCAGAGAAGCATACGAGGCCACTTCTACCTTGCCAAATCCACCCCCGCCTTTTAAAACATTAATGTTTCAATATTCAGGGCTGTGGATGCTGCAATTTGCTCAAAGGTCTATTGTCACCATGGACGATATTTCTTCTAACCCAATACTCCTGACCTAGAGGTACTTCCAAGAAAAAAAAGATCCATGGAGAGATCAGAGCAACAGGAAACTGTCTGGGGGTGCGGGGCGGGGCGGGGTGGGGGGGGGAGCCATTCGTACGGGTTATTCCTCAGCTGCCAAGGAAGCTGAATATATTGACATTTTGATCATTTCTCACTGGGTCGAGTGACTACAGTTATAGAAGTGAGCTCGAGCTCTTGGAATCCACAGACATAAGATTAAAAGACGGCAAATACGTTAGGGCGTTAAAGCTCCTGTGCGCCACCCCCAGTGGGTCATCATGGTTGAGATGTTTCAGCTACACGAGAAAAATAAGGTTAATGGAAGCCCTTCCCTGAACCGCCTGCCTATCGGCCCTCATCCTGGACCCAGTCAGAGCTCTGCCCTGCCCCAGATCCTTGCTCCCAGCACATGAATAGTCTTCTTCGTGTAATAATTCTTCCAGGTGATGATGGCGGTCTGATCTTTCTAAACTACAAATCTAGAAAATTCCGCCCCCCCGCCCCCATGAAAAATCCCTCCATGATTCCTGCTTTCAGGATAAAACCCTGAATCTTCAGCAAGGCAGGCAAGGCCCTTCATAACCAGCTGCTCACCAGCCATTCACACCCCCCTGCGCCCTCACGCAGGCCAGCTTTTTAAATGTTTTTAATTGTGGTAAAATATACACAACATTAAATGTCTGGCATGCTCCTCCGTATATCCAAAAGGATTGAAAACAGGGCAGATACGCATACCGTGATGTTCACAGAAGCAATGTTCACAATGCCGAAAGATGGAGGAAACAACCCAAGTGTCCATCAGCAGAAAACAGATTTGTTTTTTTAAATGTGTTCTTAACTATCTTAGGTGCACAATTCTATGACCCTGGGCACCTTCACAATGTTATGCAACCATCACCACTATCTATTTCCAAAACTTTGTCGTCACCCCAAATAGAAACTTTGAACCCATTAAGCAATAACTCCCCCTTCTCTCTCCTCTCCCCTGGCCCCCTGGGAAACTTCAATCCACATCCTGTCTCTATGAATTTGCCTACTGTAGATATTTCATATCATTAGAATCATATAATATTCGCCCTTTTGTGTCTGGCTTATTTCACCTAACATAATGCTTGTAAGATCTGTGCTGCAGTGTGGATCAGAACTTCGTTCCTTTTTGTGGCTAAACACTATTCCCGGGTGCGTCTATACCACATGTTGTTTATCCGGTCATCTGTTGATGGATATGTGGGTTGATTTCACCCTTGGGCTACTGTGGGTGATGCTGCAGTGAACGCCGGTGTACTTGTATCTCCGTTTTCAGTCCCTTTCGGTCATTCCCTCAGAGGGCACTAGCCTTTCCCCCAGTATACCTTGCCCCCAAGTCCGGGGTTTTTACCCTCCTGGCCACCCCAGAGAGTTTCTGGGGCTCCTTCTCTGTGCTCCCTGGCACTGGTCACACGGAGTCCGCTATGCCCCTCACTTCTCCTTCAGGCTTGCTGGTACCATGATGACAAAAATGGCGCCTGCCACAAATGCCAGCTCTTGTAATTATTTATTATCGTACGAGCTCAGTAAATACTCTCAATCGGTACAGTACAACACCCTTTGCCTCCGGGGCCTACAAAACAAATTCAATACATTGGACCGTCTTTCGGAGTCGGTGACCTCTGTACAAACCATGAAATAGCTAGGATTCTCGCCTTGCTTCCAGAAGCAAAGATGCAGAGCTCACCACTCACGTATGTCGTGGATGGCCCTCCGCCTCTCTGCTGCAAGGCGGGGGGAGGGGCGGGGGCGGGCCACAGCCGTCCCCCCTGCCCAGTTCTGGGTTACTTGCAGGAGCTGAGGGCTCGTCTGGCAGGAAAGAGCTTGATGCGCAGCCTTAGTGAGGCCCCGGGCTGGCCTGACGCCAGACCCGGAAGAGAACAAAGCCGCTCGCTCCGGGGCCGTTGCAACCTTCGCTGAACCCCAGGAATGCACGCAGATCGTGACTACCCTGATAGGCCATTAATAAAACGACTCTTCACAAAGCACCCACGTGCTAAACAAAACAAGAGTCCTGGCTCCCCCGCTGGGTGGCGCGGAACCCCAGTTCCTTTGTTCATAAAAAGAGTGCTTGCGCGCATTAGGGAAACAGAGGCAATAGCACTTCTCCGGCCGCAAGAAGCTTAAGCTTCAACAGCTGTCCTTAGGGGCGCTCCACCTGGGTGCGCCCTTTGAGGGCTGCGCTCCGCCGCCCCAAGTTTCCCCCAAGTTCTCCAGAGACAGTTTAATGAAACTAATGTGGCGGGGACCAATCCCTGGAAGCTCGCCGCCTCTGCTAGATGGGGTTGAAGAAGTTGGCGGGCACGCGACAGACACCTGGGCGCCCCGACCACTGCTCGGCAGGAGCGCAGACGTAAAAGCGCCCGTGGGAGGTGGAAATGCAGCCGTCTCGGGGAAGCGGGTCGGGACACTTAGGCCTGGGTCTCGGGCCCCTGGGGTCGGCTGTTGGGACGTAGTTGCCCCTCGTTCTCTTTGTCCTTGCCCCGTCGAAAGGGAAGGAAGGACCTGCTGGCGGACTCTGCAGACCGCCCCCGCCCGAAGCCCTCCCCGCGGAGCCCCGCCCGGCTCGGCCCTACCTGTCCCGCAGGTGGCCGCAGCGCAGCCCCAGGGCCGTGCACTCCGCCGCGCTCACCGCCACCCCCTTGCAGGACTTGACCGGGTAGATCCAGAGCTGCGCCACCGTGCCCACCTGCTGCAGCTGCCGGCGCCGCCTGGACCGCGCGCGGCGCCAGGCGACGGTCCCCAGCGCCACGGCGGCCAGTCCCAG